TATAGCAAAGGGCCTGCCTCCTCATTCGGCATTCGGGTGCTGGCTGCATGCTGCGAAAGCGCTGCTGCGCTATTTGCTGGCTGGCACTCACGCTCACACGGGTGAGCAGGAAGGAGCGGGCAGCCATAGCCGAGCTGCTCCGCTGTGAGCTGGGTGTGGCGCAGGGTGGTCCTCGGGTGCTGGTGGCATGTGTGTTGGGGAACGAGGTTGTGAGTGAAGCGAGAGACATACCAGGTGCTGGAAGCGTGCAGCATTGGTTGCTGTATGCTCGTACTTCGGAAGAGCTGTTGTCGTCAACTTCGGCATTGTAATCTAGACTGGATAGGATCTGCCACATGTAGTCTGGGCGCCGAGCGCCCGATAGGATATCAACTCTGGTTCTTCGTTGATGATGATGATGGGACTATTTCAGCATTGTCAATTATGAACTCTTGGTTTGATCTTATTTGGTGAAACTCGTGATGCAATTTTGTTGTTGGTTCGAGGTCACAAAGAAATAAACGTTGAAAATATCAAAAAAAGATATGATTAATTTTGAAGAAAAATAAACTTCGATTTCAATTTAAATTTATTCAAATTTTATTTACAACAAAATGTGAAATTTAGGAAAGAATGAGGTAATCCTGGATTACAGAAAAGAAATTCTATAAAAAAAAAATGGAAGAGGACATTTTAAATTTTTTTGCAGAATTAGGAAAATTCTGAAGGTGAAATAATTAGGTCTAAAATATTTTTGAAGCATGAGAAAAGAATTACTTATTTTTGAATTAAAATAAATCTGGAAATTATTATAATTATTATTATTATTATTACCAGGGTTACCTGACCGAACGTTCGGGGGGGCCCAGGCTGGCCCCCGAACGTTCGAGCATTCGGGGTCCCGTTCGGGTCCCGCCAAAAAAAAATTCAGGGCCTAAAAATATTTTTTTTTTGTGAGTTCTCTATGATGTCACCTACACGCCTATAAATTTTGAAGCCATTCTGCTAAGCCAAAAAAACATTAAAAACCGTCAAAGATGGGGGTGTCAAAACGTGCTCGCCCACTCACTATTTTGGTTTTTTTCACTTTTTAACTTTTTGTTTTCACTTTATTTCGGGGCCTAAAAAATTTTATTATTTTTTGAACGATCGTCGGGGGTTGGCGGGGGGAAGGGCGACGGGGGTCGGGATCGCGCGGGAAGATAGCGCGGGGGGTAAAGTCGGGATCGCGTGGAGGGGGAAGGAAGAATCGCGCGGGGAAGGGGAAACGCGCGGGGGGGGACTAACGGATAGCGGGGGGGGGAAGGGATAGGGAAAGATCGTCGGGGGGAGAAGGAAAGAAGGAGAGGAAGATAAGGGGAAGAAGAAGAAGAAGAAGAAGAAGAAGAAGAAAAGAATGAAGAGAAAGAAGAAGAAGAAGAAGAAGTGAAAGTGAAGTGAAACTTACTCCAGACAACAATCTGCCCGTTCACACCGATCCAAGGATCGAACACGTGACCTCCACGTCAAGAGGCAAACATTCAACCAAACAGCTAAGTGGACTGGGGTGAAAGTTAAGCCCCAAGATGAATACTTAACCCCACCCCAGCATGGGTACTCGTTTTTTCCCCGCGACCCGGTGTACCCAGTCACACACGCACACCCAACCAGGGTGTGTAAACGTAGCCACCATACAGTGTACGACCTCACTGCTGGTTGCCACGCAGGTAAGAAGTGAAACTTACTCCATACAGCAATCTGCCCGTCCGCACCGATCCAAGGATCGAACACGTGACCTCCACGTCAAAAGGCAAACACTCAACCAAACGGCTAGGTGGACTGGGGTGAAAGTTAAGCCCCAAGATGAGTACTTAACCCCACCCCAACACGGGTACTCGTTTTTCCCCGCGACCCTGTGTACCCAGTCACACACACGCACCCAACCAGTGTGTGTAGACGTAGCCACTATACAATGTTCGACCTCACTGCTGGTTGCCACGCAGGTAAGAAGTGAAATTACTCCAGACAGCAATCTGCCCGTCCGCACCGATCCAAGGATCGAACACGTGACCTCCACGTCAAGAGGCAAACACTCAACCAAACGGCTAAGTNGGGGGGGGGAGAATAATAAAAGAAAGAGAAGAGAAAAAAAAAAGAACGAAGATAATTGGACGAAGAAGAAGAAAGAAGAACATAAGAGGAAGAAAGAAGAAGATCAAAGGAAAAGAAGGAAATTGTCGTCGACTACTTATCTGCGCGGTGTAACGGCGTCGACGACGAGGATGGCACATCACGGCGACGAGGATGAGGAGCACGGCGATGATGACGTGGGGCGACGATTTCGATCGCAACAATAATGATGATATCGTGGCACAGCCACAACCATCACGACGAGGATGCTGATGACGTGGCACGATGGTGCTGATCTCGACCATGACGATGATGACGCGGCGACAACGATCTCGACGATGATGACGCGGCGACAACGATCTCGACGATGATGATGATGACGTGGCAAGGCGACGATGATCTCGACAATGACGATGATGACGGCCAGGCGATGATGAGGAAACAGGGTGGGTCGGGCGGGTTTGAACCGCTCCGATACCAATGTAACGAGTGTGTGGCTGAGGGAGACAGGGAGAGCCGAGGACGAGGAGAGAGAGAGAGAGAGAGTGAGAGCACACACACACACTCACTCACTCGACACGACTGAGGGACTCACGGACATAGACAGTGGCAAAGACACAAAGTCGAAGTCTTGGATTCCGAATGCCGAAACAGGGGCAAGTCCCACTGAGTACGAGTACAGCAACTGAAAACTGGTCCGAGACTGGTCCCCGTACTGTACGGGGAGCCGGTATAAGTACGGGTACGGTACCAGGGGCATTTCCGCAAAAGCCCCGAGGGCAGAACTAAAAAATGCGGTATTTGAAAGTGGTGCCCAAATTGCAGCATGGTGCCAGTTGTCCAAAATCCGACGGTACCAAAGGAGGGGTTTGGAAAAAAGGGTGCCAGGCCGAAAACGGGACGCAGCAGAAACAGCAAAAAGATAGACCAGGGATCGAGCCCTGGCAGAGTCCCTAACAAAAACCCTTGCATTCAACTAATCAATCGAATCTGATAATCTCGCCCTAACCCTCTGAGATTCTCAGATCTTCACATTTTCCACAACTAGGGAAGCTTAACGATCCTGCAGCTAGTACACCTCCAACCATTTTGGTTGGTAGTTGGTTGGGTAGCTCGTGGGTCCTCACTCCTAGGAAGGGTAAGAATGCAACAAATCGCAGTATACCAGTGGGACTGTTCACGAACTGTGTTTTCTGTTTCCTTGGTTTGGGGCTTGCGGGACTTGACCTCGTGACCTGTAATTTGTACATTTGGTTTGTTAGCTTTGAGCCCTACTAGTCTTGATCCTTAGACCAATAGCTAGTAGTCTCTATTTGGCAGTCTCAGACCGTTAGGCTTTACCATTTTATCATTTTCTGCAGTTGGTGAAGTCACCCTGGGACTTGATCCCATGAGCTGTAGTGTGTTTGTGGTGTCTGACTGTTTTTTAGCCGTATTGGGCTTGAACCTTGAAGTTGTCGCTAGTAGTCTCTACTTCGTAGTCGTAGGCCTTTCAGCCTTGTTGTTTTGTCCTTTATCTGGCCTTCTGGAAACTGGTAGGCCCATAGGTCTTTCTTTTGTGTGTCCTAGCGTTGGGTCCCCTTAGTCTAGGTTTCCATCTAGATGCATGGAGGTAGATCTTGACTGTTTGGCTGTAGATGTTGGCTGTTTGGACGGTCCGATAGGTCTGTAGGTGGCTGCTGTGTTGTAGGTCTAGGGAAGTCGGGTAGGAGTAGGCAGAGGCCGACGAGTTTGAGGTTTTTTCATTGCTTTGCTTTTCACGGTCCTGGTGGAGGTCGCGTTGCTTCCCTGCTGCACTATTGTGGGCATGTACGCAGGGCATTTTCTCCACATTCTGCTGGCGGCCATAGCTGGGGCCGCCCAACTCCATTGGACAGCTCTGGGGCTTAGCGCCCAAGTGCTGATGAGCGCTTCCGCATATTTGTGTGCTTGTTGAGGTTTGGTCAGCTGCCACCGAAGCTGCACTTTCAGTGGTTCTTCTTCCACGTGGCAGATCTTCATCTTCATCGAGTTGCTGTTCTTCCTCATCATCCTGGGAGCTGCACTTCTCTGCTGAGTGAACACTTCATCTGCAGTGGGCTTCTTGGGTGGTGCAGAGAGGCGTGTTGGATTTAGGAGGGTGTGTGGCGATTGGCAGGCTTGATAGGTTGGGTGCTTGCAAACACCATAGCTAGAGCTTGAGGAAGAGGGAGGAAGAAGAAGACTCCCGGATACTTCAATGAAATCTTGTAAATAATTGGTCCATGGGTGTTGATAACGTGGTTGGGATCCTTGGAAATTTGTGCTCTTGATTGACTTGGGGAGAGAAGGTAGTTAGAATTGATTTTCATTTCAATTTTATTTTCGGTATTTGTGTGCTTCCGCTGTGTATTCTTATCATCCGGTCTGGTGTGGATTGCTCCCTCCAAAGGTCACTTGTCATTGCACGTGTATGGGAACGTGTTGATGCCATGTTGGATCTCGTTTCAATCAAGCACATAACACGGACATGTAGCATAGGTTTAAACCACCAGTACCTTTCTCAGCTATTGATGCCGACCCTGAAAATGCCCTGCACGCCATTTTTTTGCCCAGCCTGCAGGGGGTGGGTGGGAACCAATATGGGACATTGGATGCTTGGCGCACGTACCACCCTTATGCTGGACCTGCAGTTAGCAGCTGGAACGTGAACAGGCCGTCATTTTCTTGTTTTCACTCTTGTAGCACCCTAAGCCTCACCAGAACTGCAGCCAGATACATTCTGGAAAGAGCTGCCTGGCAGGAACTTCTTTGATCCCCATCTCCCACGGGGAATCACATCATAAATTGCCGACAATCTTCCAAAAGGAAAAAAAAAGAAACAAAGGGAAAAAGGGAAACCAAGCTCTGCACGCGATTGCACTCAGATTCATTCACTACGGCCCAGAAGTGGCAGCCAGATACATTCTGGAAATTGGCAACCAAAAAGAAAAGAAAAGAAAAGGAAAAAAAAAAACAACGGGAAAAAGGGAAACCAACCTCTGCACATGATTGCACTCAGATTCATCCACTACGGCCCAGAAATGCAGCCAGATACATTCTGGAAAGTGGCAACGTTACTGTGAAGCCCTGAATCGAAAGGGCTGGAGGGCGATGAATGCTCTCCGTCTCTCACGGGGAGTAAGAGCACACAAAGCCAACAGTCTTCTTCCAAAAAATAAAGGGTGGGGGGGAAAGGGGAAAGGGGAAAACGGAAACCAAGCTCTGCCCGCGATTGCTCTCAGATTCATCCACTACGGTGCAGAAGTGCAGCCAGATACGTTCTGGAAAGTGGCAACGTTACTGTGAAGCCCTGAAATCGAAAGGGCTGGAGGGCAATGAATGCTCCTCGTCTCTCACGGGGAGTAAGAGCACAAACAGCCGACAGTCTTCTTCCGGAAAAGGATTTAAAAAAAAAAAAAAGGGGGGGAAGGGAAACCAAGCTCTGACCACTATTGCTCTCAGATTCATCCACTATGGCGCAGAAGTGCAGCCAGACGCGTTCTGGAAAGTGGCAACATTGCAGTGAAGCCCTGAAACCGAAAGGGCTGTCTGAAAATGAATGCTCCCCGTCTCTCACAGGGAGTCAGAGGACAAATAGCCGAGAATATTCTTCCGAAAAAGGAAAAAACGAGAAAACAAAGGTGAAAAGGGATACCAAGCCCTGACCGTGATTGCCCACATTCTGGAAAGTGCTAACGTTACAGTGAAGCCCTAAAACCCGAAGGGCTGGCGGGCACTCATCAGAAACGATTCTTTTTTATTCCCAAAACAAAAAAGAGAGCAAAACGGCGTTCCTTTCTGCTTTTATTTTTTATATTTTTCCCCTCACCGCCTTCAGCGTCCACGCGTTTCCACATGCATTGCACACCAACAGGACATCTTGCAGTCCACTTGCCCCTTTTCCCAGGCCCCACGGGCTTCCGCTCCCGTTGTGCAACAAGCCTGATGCCAAAACCCCACTTTGATTCCGTACGGTTTTGTTTTCCAAGCAGGGAAGGTACTGGTGGTTTAAACATAGGTTTAAACCGAACAGAACACATCCTATGGCTAATTACTGGGGGAGCCGGCAGTTACACCAGACAATGACAAGTAGTTAGGCGACGCATATCAGGCTGAACATGCAGAGTAAGTACTGAAAAAGGAATTTCGATTTTAGACTTGGATGACGAGTAACAACGGAAATCGGAACGAGTTCCCGCAGGGATGACGAGTTACAACGGAATTTGGAACGAGTTCCGGCAAACATTTTGTGCATCCAGTAGGTGAGGATCTCAGGATACAGGAAGGAACCGAGTTACAGGGTATGCAGCCCATTCCTTGTCTATACGAAGCTACAGTAGGTGAGGATCTCAGGAGGAAGGAAGGAACCGAGTTACAGGGTATACAGCCCATTCCTTGTCTATTACCCATTCCTCAACGGCGTCATATGAGAGCTCGGCATACGTGGAGAAGCAGCAGAGAGTTGATTGGTCATTATTCTACCTTAACCCATCATTTATTAATCCCTTAACTGATTCTTCATGGCCTTTTGATCCGTTCTTAACTTTGAAGACTCTTGATTACTCACTTTCCTGATTCGTCGACCGCATGTCCACGATAGCTTCTTACCTTTGTCTTAGGGTACCACAAGTATATAATAATAGCCAGTTTGAACTCATTGTACATCGGCAGCCTGCTACAGAACACACACACACACACACACACACACACAAGAGAAAACAAACGCACAAGGCGACAAGGAATTAACCACTGAAAGAGACCAGTCGTACCTTCCTGCAATTTCAGGGGCGGCAAATGAAAACAGTCACCCCGGCACCCACCCCTGCCAACCTATCACTGCCGCTCGTTTCTTCATGTCTTTTAAACTAACTACGGCCACATCTCACAGCATCAAAAGGGGAAAGATTCAAAAGCACCCAGGAGACAAAAACACGTTCCTGATTCCTACCAAGGAACTCTTTGGCAAACTTTGGAATTAAGCCGCCTCCTTTTTTTCTGTGACAGAATCACCACCTCCACTCCTAAGAGTCGTAACCCATGTGGAAGCAAAACAATCGAACGTTTCTTACACTGCCAGACATGTATGCCGCATCACTCTTTTGCCAACCAGTTCATCAATTCAGAACACCAAACCCATGCCGACGCACCTCCATACGCTTCCACCTGCAGCAACTGCGACAAGATTATATTGTCCCCTGCTATTGGGTTTTCCAAGAAAGCTAAACGTAGGTGGCCAATGACTGTGAGGCGGCAAGGGATATTTGACTCATACTGCCCCATACGAGAATCAACAATCTGTCCAACTCAAGGGGCCATCTGAAGCTCAATTGGTTGCAGGACTGTTCATCCTGGTGCCTAGCTCCTCTCTACATACCTTGATAAACAGGCGGCTCTGCATGCACGCTTGAAAGGTACTGCCCTCTCCCAGCTTATCACTGTAATGACTTCTAATGCCAATCAAAGTGATGGAGGTATGCACAGGTCGAGGAGTTACAAAATCAACGAACGTCAACCGCCACTTGCTTTAGCAATTGTGTTACGTGCCAAGCTGAAGCTCCCACAAGGGTTATATAATTCATGAAAAGGGAGGGAGGAAAAAGCAGGGAAAAGGGGGGGGTGGCTTACCAGAGTAGGAAGACGTCCGAGAACCGTTCCAAGACAGTGAGTAGTGCCATAATGATCCTGTCCATCCACAAAGACGTACCAAACACAAACCAGTGAGCAGCCAAAATCGTGCACTTCCGAAACTCTCTCCGGGGTCGTATATTCCGAACCCGACCCACACATATCCTCCTCCCCGTACCATCCATAACGCCTCGGTTCAATAATGGCCAACGGTAATTTCCGGAGCCCCGCTGTCGCATACCGTAACAGTACAGACCAGAACAAGAACCAACCTCTCTCACATAGTACGCAGTGGAAGGCTAATATACCAATGATCCGAATAATCAATGTTGCAATGCAGATCAAACATACATCATCATCATTCCATGGTGTGAAGGGGCCTGGCGCTCACACAGGAAGAATGCGCCAGTCCCCAACCATACACAGACGTAGAGGAGGGGGGTTAGACAAAGAAGAGGGGAAGATGGGAATGCCGTCAACACCACGTCTTCGGTACAGGTCCCAAATAATCCCTCGTCCGATGTCTCAATCCCAATGTCGAGTCTGAATCCAAATGCCGTCAAGTCCCAAAGTCACAAATCTCTCTCTCTCTCTCTCTCTCTCTCTCTCTCTCTCTCTCTCTCTCTCTCTCGTAGTCTGCAGATACTGAGAAGTCAGGTAGCGAGAGGGTGAGGGAGAGATGGTGGACTTGGAAGAGGAAAACGAAGAACTCTCTCTCTCTCTCTCTCTCTCTCTCTCTCTCCGTTCGGTACTACCCTGTGAAGGTGGCACCTTGTTGCAGGTACCTCGAAGACGAAGCTGGAGCTATGGTGCCACAGGTAAGTCTCCCTAGCCTCCGCCAACCATCTCTCTCTCTCCAACGCTACTCTAGCTCCTAATAGCGCCCAGCGCTGAAGATTACTGCTAACGCTACTACTACTACTGCAGCGCTCCTCCATAGTGCTGCTGCCGAATCCTGAAGACTGCCTCCTGCCTCCTGCACGTGAAGTGCATGGGAAGTTCCTATGAACTGCCTCATGACTACCTGCAGCCTGCAGGGCGGGCCAGTCTTATATAGTGCTGGCCCGTACAGGAGGCTGCTCTTGCCAATGCCAAAACGTGCCAGACCCTGGTGTTGAAGTTCAAACAAGGGTTGTCTTGAAAACTAAAAATGGCCTGTGCTAAAACCCTGGTCTGGTGCCTGAGTTTCAGGGTAGGTCGATCTTATGAGGGTCTAAAAATGGCCCTTCGTTCCAAGCTGAAAAGACTCAGGGCCTGCAGGGCCCCGATTTAGGCTGAAACGACATAGGGCCTGTAGGCCCTCGTTTTCAGGCTTTTAGGCTGCAAACGGCACAGGGCCTGTAGGCCCTTATTTTCAGGCTTTTAGGCTGAAAACAACACAAGGCCTATAGGCCCTTGTTTTCAGGCTTTTAGGTTGAGAACGCTGGCCGGGCCCTGCAGGCCCATGTGGCTGCGCCGTATGCCACACCCCCCCCTCCATGAAAGACCGAGCTTACCTGCGAGGGCGAAGCTGTCTGTCTGAGGGAGGGACCAAAGCCCAGGTGGGAAGGTGTTACATACTCCAATGAGTATGGGCAGAACCAAGAATCAACCAATATAGGATGAGTTTTTATGCAGTGGAAGGCTTATAACGAACTGACTCACATAGACTGACTCACATAGACTGACCTACATGGCATCACTCCACACACATACAATCATGAGATGGTGGGGTCTGGGTCATGC